GTTGATGAGTACTGCTTACATGGGTAAAATTGTCTTTATGAATTTTAACTCAAGTTAAGATATGTGGGTCAATGTATTACTTAATATATAAGAGGTGTGTGGGCCTTGAGGGGGCCATTCCATATGATTTTTAGATATTGAAAGAGAGAAAGGCTTAGGCTTTTGGAACCCTAGCTTGGTGTGTGGAGAAGAAACCCTAGGTTTCGTTAAATTATGTTTGTGTTTAGCTTTGTTTCTTGCTGATTTTACTGTTCTCTCAAAATTCTCTACATCAAATTGGTATCAGTGCCTGCGATCTACACGGAAAGTATTGTAGCAGTGTACGGAGTTATTGTAGCATTGTACGAGTTACTATAGCATGTACGGACCGGCTGTGGTTTCGATTTCTTTGGTGCCTTGAATCAATAACAAAGTGAGGAAGTTACAGTGGGGGTCGAAGGTTTTGGCCAAAGTTTTTCCAAATCAACCTAGATCTTGTTGATTTCAGCAGTTTTTTGTTGATTATTTGCTTAGAGTTTGTGATTTCGATGAACATGTGGCAGCGAGAAGGGGCTGTAAAAGGGGGATTTTTCGTGGATCGGCTCCATGATCCTATAGATGACATAATCGAGGAACTTAAAAGGCAAGTTCAGCAACTTCGCAAGTCTCAATAATGGGTAAGACGTGATATTTCAGCCCAAGAGGATCTTGAGTACAAACCTTTTCACTTTCGCGCTTCGTGTGTGGAGTCTGATGATAAGGATAACGATAAAAGACCTAGATGTGTGGAACATTATTCCAGGGATTTTGACTTGAAGGATGAGATTATTGATTTTGACACGGATTGCAGTGAAAATCAACAAATAGTAGATTGGGACTCACCACCAATGTTCGATATATACTCTATTGAAGAACAAGATCTTTTAAGAGATCTAATCTATAACAAGGATCAATATCATGATGAAGAGATTTTGGAAGAGGGTGACGAATATGGAGAGAAGGCAGCATGAGTACTGATCAAAATCATGGCCTTTGAAGATCTCATTAATATGGAGAGGTAGAGCATTCAAGAAATTTAGGGCATTGGAATCATAGTAGTACAGTGGAAGCATGGTCGATTCAGAATCTGCAAATTATAGCCCTGATTTCAGAGAATAATGAAATTGATGAGAAGAAATCCTTTAGAGACCAGAAAATTGGTTTAGTACCTTCCTACAAGATTTTCAATAGGAGTTCAAGGATAGCTGTATTTGATAAATTTGCATTGATTCCCCAATATATATATTAGGATCTGTTTCTTGAGGAATTATCTTTACCACGAATAATCTTTGAGCCAACAATGAGAAAGAGGGTTGAAGAAGGTGTTTTTGATGTTGAATTCATCTTGGCACACTTCAAAATTCGAGGACGAGTTTTCTCCAACAAGAGGAGAATGATGGAGGGCAAATCATCCTTATTTTTTATTTTTATGTAATTTCAAAGGATGTATATTATAATTTTTTAGGAATTCTAGGGCTTTTGTATTTTTTTATTTATTTCATGAGTACTATTCACGAGGATTGTTCACGTATAGTGTTTATGGGGTAAAACTGTCATTATGAATTATAAGTTAGTCTAGGATATATGGGTCAATGTTGGGTTAGCTATCTGTTGCTCTGTATTGAGTTAGCTTTGTAGTTCTGTCTTGGTTGAGTTGCCTACGTCATCTATGCCTAAATACTTTTTGTACTTGGAACATTAAAATATAATATATAAGAGATTGTGTGCGGCCTTGAGGGGGTTAATTCTCATGATTTTTAGAAATTGAAAGAGAGAGAAAAGCTTGGGCTTTTAGAACCCTAGCTTGGGGTATGGAGAAGAAACCCTAGGTTTCTTTGAATTGTGCTTGTGTTTGGCTTGTTCTTGATCCAAGTGTACTATTTTCCTCGTCTTCTTCGTTTACATATGGCCATCTTGGAAGCAAAAGTATGCCATCAATCTTTCCACGCTCGAAAGAGGAATCAAGTAAAGGGTTGGCCTTTAATGATGTATATGATGGGCTTCTTGGTTCTATGCCTTTATATTTATTTGATAATGGTACTAGGTGGAACATGAATGAGAAGGAAAAGAAGAAAAAGAAAATGAACGTAGAAGAGAGTGTTGCCTCTAAATCTATATGAGAATGACCTAATAATTATTGTGGCTTATTGAAGTCTTCTCTTCCTCTTCTTCATTATTCAGTGAAGATGATTATCATCAGGCTCATAAATCCTTGAGAATTGTAGAGTTTGTGGTTCTTGAGCTCAACTCTCATAGTATTTGCAATGGCGGGCTTCTGAATTCTACAACATTTGTAGAGCGAGCCCATAGAAGTGGAGTGAAATTACTTATGCTCTAAATTTGCAATTCTATAGGGATACCTGAGGATATGGAGGGTGCCTGCAAATTTGAAATTACGGTTATATCTGGTGTCAATACAATATATTTGGATTATCATAGTTGCGGGCCTGTCAAAATTGAGGAGCTAGAGGAACGACCAGCCAACATAAAAGATGGACACTTCCTTTGTACATGAATTTAAAATTGTGCACATCGTAATTTCTTAGTAAATGGAGGCATGGTGTAAGTATAGCTGGGTGTGGGATTGCTTTCGGAATATTCCATGTAGCTTGTGCACTGGTCAAAGGTTGGTTGGTCAAGATGAGAAAATTCAGCATGTGGTTGTCAATGGGGCAATAAACCTCAGGAATAGCATTGACCTTGTTTTGAGAAGGTTTGAGAGGAAGGGTGGCAGAGAGCTTACTCATCGTGCGCACTTCTGCACAAGACATTGTACTTAAAGGATTGTCACCAACTCATGCAACTTTATTGAGGGCATCTCAAAATTGGATACAACATTAGAGAATTATTTGACAAAATGGACTTCAAATATACAAGAAGGTGTAGATGATGAGATCAAGTAAGTTGAAATGGGCATTCAGGCACATTGTGTGGGTGGAGAATTTGAGTATGAAAAGTACATGCTCTTGATGGACAAAGTTCTAGATGGTGACTGTATAAAAGAGGTTCTTTACCCAAATAATCAGGCAGCTATTTGAATGTGTTTGGGTGTTTTTCATGGGAGGAAGCTTCTTGGGCCAGGAATCAAAATTCTTTGGTTTGAAACAATGCTTCTTCTTTAGCAAGGTCGATTTTGATCCCTCAATCAGCAATATGTTCCCCAATGTATATGCCAAATGGATGTCCATCGGAGGCGCATAGCGGTTGTTAAATGTTATACCTTACAAAGAACAATTGGTAGAGATGTAGGGCTTCACCATCAGCTAAGGGAGGATCATAATGCAATAGCAAAAACTCGATACTAGTTTTATTTCCAGCCTAGGGTTAGGATGCAAATCGCATCGAAGAAATTCAAGTTACTGGCTAATATTTTTATAATTATTGTTTGTATGATTTATGTTTGGGGAATCTCCAGGTTCATGGGTGATTTGTTTATTTAGTCTCTGTTTTTCTAGGGGTTTTTGAGGGATTTATATGTAGGGGGTAAAAGGGATATTTAATTTAGAGTTTTATGCAGAAAAGTTGCTATTTTCATGGGGTGACTTGTTTTCCATAATGGGACGTTAGGACATGGCAAGAGCTTATGGGATCGAGATAAGGAAAGGGGTTAGAGTTTTTTTTTTGAAATCAAGGAAAGAGATTTAGAGTTGGATGGGAGATTTCTAACAACTAGGGAGAGATTTATGTGGGATAAGGTAACTCATAGTTTAACGGGATATATGGATCTCATGAAGAGATTAATGGGAGTCCCAGTTTTTGGGAGATACATGACTTAGAGAGATGAGGGTGAATGTGGGAGTTACATGACTTGGAGAGATGCGGGTGAATGAGGTCTTAAGGGGAGCACTCCTATTTTTAAGGGGCTCACGTAATGAGGAGAGAGAGAGAGAGAGAGAGAGAGAGAGAGAGAGAGAGAGAGAGTGGTGGGAGGGGAGTAGTTAGTTTAGAGGAGGAGAGTACGGTAGGGAGGGGGAGGTAAGTAAAGTTTAGTTTTAGTCTTACTTTTCTTTTTCCGTTTTACGTTTTAGGTTTTTATTTTAGTTAAGTAAAGGTAGGG